AGAATGGTCCATAGAAGAGGCTGGTACAGGTTAGATTGCGATAGGACCACTTTCAAAAAATTCTTTTACTTTTCGGAACTTATTAATATTAAGAATTTCGCATTAGTTCGAATTTTCGCCGATAAGAGGGCAGCACCTCCTGGGCATGATATGTGGCGCCATCTCTGAGAGAACGAGTGAACTTTCTCCGATAAAATAATTCCGAACTCGATTTAGAAATCCCATTGTCGAAATTCAATGAGTAAATCTTATTAAAGAATCCGCATTAGTTCGAATTTTCGCCGCTAAGAGGGCAGCACCTCCTGGGCATGATATGTGGCGCCATCTCTGAGAGAACGAGTGAACTTTCTCCGATAAAATAATTCCGAATTCAATTTAAAAATCCTATCGTCGAAATTTCAATGAGTAAATCTTATTAAAGAATCCGCATTAGTTCGAATTTTCGCCGCTAAGAGGGCAGCACCTCCTGGGCATGATATGTGGCGCCATCTCTGAGAGAACGAGTGAACTTTCTCCGATAAAATAATTCCGAATTCAATTTAAAAATCCTATCGTCGAAATTTCAATGAGTAAATCTTATTAAAGAATCCGCATTAGTTCGAATTTTCGCCGCTAAGAGGGCAGCACCTCCTGGGCATGATATGTGGCGCCATCTCAGAGAGAACGAGTGAACTTTCTCTGATAAAATAATTCCGAACTCGATTTAAAAATCCGATTGTCGAAATTTCAATGAGTAAATCTTATTAAAGAATTCGCATTAGTTCGAATTTTCGCCGATAAGAGGGCAGCACCTCCTGGGCATGATATGTGGCGCCATCTCTGAGAGAACGAGTGAACTTTCTCCGATAAAATAATTCCGAACTCGATTTAGAAATCCCATTGTCGAAATTCAATGAGTAAATCTTATTAAAGAATCCGCATTAGTTCGAATTTTCGCCGCTAAGAGGGCAGCACCTCCTGGGCATGATATGTGGCGCCATCTCTGAGAGAACGAGTGAACTTTCTCCGATAAAATAATTCCGAAAGAAATTCGGAATTCAGCTATATCAGGCTGATGCAGATCAAACTGCGATAGGGCACTTTCAAAAAACCCTTTCCTTTTTGCAACTTGCAGATGGAATGAAAGTAATGGCAGAGAAAATGCAGCGTAGCGGAAAAGAGGTGTAGAAGCATAAGGTTGGAGGAGAAGGAGAAGGATGCTGTTAGGACGGAGGAGAGTAAGAGAGAGACAGAACTCATTCGTACTCTGGGATATTCGCATAGGGCAAAAGAATATCAACGTGTATAAGTGTTTAAAGATAATTTATTCAACAAATGCAATAATGATACAGTATACGATGTACAGATTTACATATATAGTCCGCGAAAGATTAGTAATATCAATGCCATTAGAAATATATTAAAATATATCACTACAATATAATACACGTGTGGTATATTACATGCGCTACCACTTTGGACTTTTCTTTTTCCAAAAGACATTTTAAAAACTTCGTTTTTAAGGATATACTAGGAGGAGAGTGATGGAGACATAGGAAGGAATAGGAGATTAGAAAATTAAGTAAAAATGTTTGGTGGCGGCAGACAGGAAGTTGTAAATGTTCCTTTGGGACCAGCGGTGAGTAGCGGAGAACCTCTGTCCGCCAAGCTGTACGTTCGTGTTGACGTTTAGCTCGGCTACGTCGGGATTCAGATTGTCCACGGAGATGATAAAAAAGAATGCTACTTCCACACTCGCCGCTACGATTTAGCGTCATGATTTTGGTATCGCCTAAAACAGTAGCGTTGAGCATCTCCCTACTTATCTGTGTACTTACCTGTCTCGTGGGTCCACACTACAGACTTCTATATACTACTAGACCGCTAGCTTCCAGTATCCTGCCGTTGAATGAAGCGAGGAACATTTTTTGAAGTGGTGGGGGCTGGCCGCCATCTTTAGTAGGACAAATTTGTGAGTGGGTTAGTGTATCGGTGTGACACCCGACACTATTCAGTGGGGCTAATGCGTCACATTGGCATTGGCGCGTATAGTTAGTGATTATAGCCAGCAATACTCTCCTCTTTTAATATTTAAAAAGGAAAGAGAGACTTTTTACTGCTATTTTAGAAATTGTACCTTATATCGGATAAAAAATACCGCCATTTGAACCCCGAACCTTACGTTTACTAAGTCAACATCTTGTCCACTTAGCTATTTGACACACTGTAAGTGATATAGCCTTCGTAATATTTAAGACCTGTGCCTCCACTTGTTTGACATCGGCTTATCTGATTTGTTTCTTCATATTTATAAAATTATTTTACCTATCATTCCGATTTTACGTACACAAATACGTCTGCTCTGAAAACGTGGAAACATAAAAATCACGGAACGAGTGCTCGGCGTCTGCTATTTACTTTCGCCACCTGGTATACGCAATGCCAAACAAAGAATGGCGTCCACTCTCCCCTCCACTTTGCCACACGGCCAGCAAGCGAGCTAGCGGTCTAGTGGTATATAGAAGTCTGTGATTCTACCGGGGACAAGAAACTGATAAATCCATAACTCTTTGATACAACTGGGATCACGGCAATGGATCCCTTTTACGTAGATCGTACGAAGAACTCCATTACCAAATCTATTATTAGCTATACAATATGGGACACATCCTATACAACTTCGCAGGACACATGAGGGTCGAAGAGTATTGAATAAGAGGACTCCGGATCTCTTATCATGCGAGTAAAATGTCAAGGAAAATCGTAAATAGTAAAATTTGTACAGAAACACTTTCCCAAAGTGAAGTTCAACACACATTGCGCAACATGCAACCATTGGGCGGACTCTATGACAAAATTTTATTATCAGGTAAGATTCGTTTATGGAAGGCACTCAGTTATAGTAATGAAACATTTTATTAAGTTTAAGATACGTAAATCATAATGGTGGCAATAGTCATTGAAAAAGTTTAAGAAATTCAGCAATCTCATTAAGCCATTTATCGATTCATCAAGACGTTGAGCGCAACATTTGGTATACACTGCTTGGTGGAATTTTACCAGAATCAGGAGAAAGGAGATTAACAGCACAAAGTGGCACAATGGTTTGATATTAATAAAAGTGTGCTTCTCCGAGCATAGCATTTTTGGTTAATTCCAAACAATGCAGTTAAGTAGCATTTTCGAAGCTTCTAATGTAGCTCAAGGTAAAATTGAAAATTTCATCATCGAGGAGATACCAGTAAAGAGGACAAACCTTTATTGGATTTTGTGTCTGATAACAAGCACAATGGGCACGAAAGTTATGCAGAAACCCGTATACAAGTTGTGGAGGGTGTTGAAATGGCATACATTTCGTTTCGGACACAAATACACGTGGACTTTACCCAATATCTCCTCAACGGCTCCAGCGATCACAATTCTACGTGGTTAGCACACAACTAAAATAAAGTTAATCGTAATCATAAGCCTAGTACTTGCCCAAGGAGATAAATTCATCAGAGAAAGGATAAGATGACACTTCCACTCGCCCCAATTGCGAGCATAGTTAATAACGGCAATTTTACAATATAATTTAAAAAATACATATAAACCTATGGAAATGAAAATCATCCAGATCACAATTGAAAAATATAAAAAAGTATCAACCTTAAGAACAAATTAATAACAAACATAGACACTCAGGAACATCCACTGGTAGTATCCACAGGTATCACTACTTCAGTGCCATCCAGCACCAAGAACAGTACACGTGTTACTATTCCTCCAAAAACAAATATTACTACCAAACGCCAACAGTCTGATAAGGTTTCATTTTTTTCGATGTAGGCCCTCCTATCAAAGGTAGACCAAGACCGATAAGAATATCGACTATGAGAAGTGGGCATATAGTTAAAGAAAAATTCAGGTATTTTCATAATATAAACATTTTTCTTATTCAAACGTATGTTCTTACATTTACACAGTACAAAAAATTATACTCAAACCCGCCGGCCCGCGGTTCATAAATCCTATGACTGGGGGCGGCCGGTGGTGGGTTGGTAAGGGACACTGGGGGTGGCTTCTTAAGGATCTCTAAGGGCTGTACATTGTCTCATCCATTCCACTCCGCCCCCAATACACGGCCCTCGCGCTCTCTTCACATTCTTCCCAATCACTCACCACGCATTCCTACCCTCGTTACACATTTCCTTCTTTTTTTTTTTACATTTAATCCTCGACTCCACATGTCACCCCATTCGCTCGACGTATATGCGGATTTACACGCACATCCACATTCTCTCCCTCTCTCTTACACGTCCTAGTCGACACATTCAGCAACATTTAAATATCATATTCTTCGTAATCATTAATTGTAATGATGATAATTATTATTATATAATAATAATGATAATAATATTAATAAAATAATAGACTATCTATCTACGCGTGTGAAGTGTATTTCTCCTTTGTATCCGCGTGCACGCCTGTGTGTATGAGGGGAGTTGGATCAAGTGGCATCCCTTAAACCTACGATTTTCATATTTATATATGTATATGTATATGTATACATATATGCATGTAAATATATGTATATATACATTTAGCAAGGAGAACGAATAGGGTTTTCTTTTTTTTTTTTTTCGCCAGCAGCAAGTAGTAATACACAAGGTACGCAACTAGAACTTTATACACCGCCCGTTTTTTTTCTTTTCTTTTTTTCGTAGGTAATAGGGGTATTTTTTGTTGTTGCTTATAACTTCGATAATATTAACGTAGTTATTAACACTAAGTTACGTTAAAATTTACTCGTTTAAATATTATTTAATCAAGTCGTTGTATGCTAGACAAATATTGAGATCAAAGAAATTGCAAATTTCAGGATTCCAGTATTTTTTGTTTAACTCGTTCTGTCATTCCTTCTTCGTCTTGAATTTATGTTCGGGTTTTCTTTCTGCGTTTGTTACTCCTCGCTTGACTCCACGCAACACGCCCTGTGAATTTCACAAACGAGGATGGTGACGAGCAATGAATATATGACAGATACACGCGTCGTGATGCAAAATCGTGTCGTCGAACTTGAACAGGCTGAATAAAAATTTGCCAAAGCTGCTCCAACTCGGCTCGATGCAAACGGCAAGACGGAGTTCCTAATTGTATGAAGATTTCCGGAAAAAAAAAAAAAAATTATAAACCGCGGCTTCGAAGGAACGAAAAAGAAAAGATTTGCAAATTGAAATTTTAGAAAATCTTGTAGTGCCACTACGTTCATCAATTTTCGTTATTTTCCATTTGCGGAAATGCCGTTCACAAATATAGGAACTCGGCCTGTCACGCTCATAAACTTTTCGTTATTAATTTTTTTATCGATTTTTTCTCTCTCTCTAACTACTCGTACGACTCACGGCAATTTATCGTCCTCAGCAATATAATCAGCTTCATGATCATCTTAATCATGTCCGAAACACCGTTCAACATTGGCACTTTGAAAATTGCTACATACACCTTGTAGCTTTCGTTAAATAATGTTATCGTAGTTATCGTTATTGCTACTATAAAGTTAGATTATTGTGTTCTTCATTCGTCTCCATCAATACCACCTCATTATTCTTTCTTTAATCTCTGTTAGCTACACCATCCACCGGACGGTTCGCATGCGATTCGACAAAAACAAAACTTTCCATTCTTTCACAATAATTTTACTGTCCGCCCCCATACACTCTTCTATAATGCAACATCGAGAAAAAGCCGTTTGTTTTAAATGGTCACGCGAAAGATCTTTGAAGCGTAGAAGTATTCTTGGATTTGCTCGATAGCATCCAATTTTATGAAAATAACTGCTAAAACAAAAAAAAAACAGATCTCGTACTAATTTACGAGCAGCGCTCGGCTTTATTACGGACGGTACTTCTTTTGTTCATAACGAGAAGTTCAAATTCAACATTGTTGCAAACTCAATGTTTTTTTTTTTTTTCATTTTTTTTTATTGAGTTTGCATTGCGTCGCTTCTTTACTCCACGCGTGGAATTTTGCGAGCTAAAAGGCAGTGTATTTAGAACTGTTCACAGCGCTTAAAAGAGAACTGTGAGAATCGCCTGCGCACCGTGTTCCATTTTTTACTTTATCTTCCAAGCGCCTCACAACACTGATGTGTATATTGTTTGTCGCGCGTGTAACTGTACATTCTTCCTTGGCTGAATCCGAATAACAACACCGAGAACACCGAACCATGAGAGCACACGAGGCGGGATCATTCAACACAGCACTGATCCAGCTTACAGACGATGACGACGTCTAATTGCACAAATTATTCTTCACCCCCTTAGACAATCCTCTTCGCAATCGCTAATAGGAATTTGTTACATAGTATCAATTATCTACATTCACATAGTATAGACAGTGTGTATTGGATACAGGCACGATATAATTAATTACAAACAATGTATGATCCAAAGTCCCTCTGGTATCACAATGGTAATGGACGCGCGAGTTTATTGGAGAACCTAACGCGTCCAAAGGTTTTAAACGAAAATCTCGCGGATTTCATTATCCGATAACATTTTTTTATTTTCCTCTTTCCCAGAAAAAAAAAAGAAAAAAAACAAAGGACGGGGAAGATAGAAAATATTATCAAGAGAGAAAGAGAGAGAGAGAGAGAGATAGAGAGAATGAGAGAAAAAGAAAAAGTATAGTATTGGAAACACCTCAAACGATAAGACACAACGAATAACTCTCATTGGCTCAGCCAATTTGAAAATCAAAAAAACTATCTCTGAAGCTACTCGTCGAATATCACAACAAACTTCCGGCCCGTCGGCGTCGTCTACGAAGCGTCTCTTCCGGCGTATTCTTCTCTCCTCCGCTTCATTCTGTTGCACGTGGTGCCTGGAACTATCTGGAACCCTTTCCGGAGTACCAGGAGCTGGCTTGAATGTGCTTCAACACTGGGATAAAGACTATCACTTGCTGGGAGCAAGGTTTAGTCGGAACAATTATATCAATGGATCTTGCGATCACGACGTGGGGCCTAGCGCTACGTCGCTTCCTTAACTTTGACCTCGTTGTTGGTCTTGAGCTTAGAGAGGGTCTCATCCTTAACGTTGGCCAGAACGGTTAGTGAATCCTTCACCGCGTGGTAAATAATATTCTTAATTTGGAGCTTGTCCTCGTGGTTGGTGTGCGTGTCGGACAATGCACGGAACTCTTGGGTTAGATGAAAACAGTGCGAGACGTTCTCCGGGGACACAAAGTCTTCTGCGACCTTAATGCAGTTGTGAAGATTGCGGACCTGATGCGGTGCACCGGCCGGCACGAAAACAGCATCCCCTAGGCATTGCACTATGGCATACCTATAAAGAGAAAAGGAAGAATTTTACTCAATAAATGTGTCCAGGATTTAAAGATCGTCTGGTTGCGACATTTATATTGATACTCACCCTTCGACACCGTATTCCCTGTAGAGACGTTCCCGGAGTGGCCCGTCGAGGTAACAGCTCTGATCGTGAATAGGATCGTGATGTGGCTCAAGTCGTGCACCACGTTCCAGTGCCACAGCGTTCAGGAGATCTCGAATCTTATCTGCATCTCGGGCAGCATAGATGTGCCATAAGGCACCTGGTGCCTCACCACGTTCACGAACTCGTCGACGTGTTAAAATATCACAGCCTGCTTCGTCAATCGCTCTTAGCGCCTCTGTAAAACAAATATATAAATTTTTATAATTGCTACATAAATCTAAAATGCAGAATTTGTAACTAATTATTCAATGTGACTGTCATGAAGTTTTTTTTTCAATGCACTGACAATCATACCTTTGACATGTTCATCGTTGTCGCCGTCCTTGGGAATGCCGACGTACACCATAACGTTTACGGCGTCGGAAATGTCCAGATGAAGATTGGTGGTACCTTTATTAGGATGTAGTGCCGAACCATAGGCGTTGTACATTTTAGGTCCTAAATCTGGTTTAACAAAACAGTCAGGTAATCGGCTAGCAAGGTTAAGTCTGCCATTCCGATGTGTGTACTCCGATAACGGAAGAACCTTCATCAGATCAGCAAACCTCGAAGGTAGTAATTCAGCGAAGTCTTCACCAGGAGGCCAATCCTTTAGCTTGAGGAGCATCGGATTTCCTCTTTCATCCTTGAGCCTTTTCGAGAAGTGTTCGAATCCTTCCCAGAACTTGCGCATCGGTTGATTGGGCACGAGATTACCCGTCATACAATTGACAAGATCGTTCTTTTCATCGCCAAAGTCCCGGGCGAAAGAGTCAGGATGCCACAGATCTATATCCAGGGCTTTAGAGACGTCAGATACAATGACCGGTTGTCCACGTTTCCACTGATCTTGAAATATCCTATAGTTATTTGGATTGTTCGGATCGTTAAGCCTTAGGAGTTTCCCGTCACACAGCCAGGAATGAGGAACGTCAGGATAAAGACCCGTACTCTCGGTGAGGGTCATGATCCGGATTGGCAAAGGTTCACGACCTCTCTGCGTCCACTTATAACGTCGTACAAAATGCTTAAGTTCTCGCGGTTTCTCATCACCGTCCAGTCCACTCTCCCTCTCCTTTTTCACACTGTGCTCGATCACACTGGAGATAACTTCGTCAAGGGTGTCCATTTTCGATTTCTTCCCAGTTTTGGCAACGTTGTTCTGCGTTGCATTTCCGGTGGTGGAGTTTGAGTTTCCGGAATTATTCGTTGGAGAGTTCGACCGCGAACCGCTGCCGTTAGGTTTATGTGACGGCCTTATGAGTAATTCACGTAACGTAGAGTAATTTCCATCACGATCTTCGTCGGAATCTGAACTGGAGCCAGTATCGTTTTTATCCTGATTCTGAAGGGCAACGTCTGCTAACCAATTAAGCGGTGAATTCTTATCCTCGCCATTAGCTTTATTTTCTGTGGAGCCATTGGTCTCATTATCCTTCTTCTCGTCCTTAACTTCCTGCTTGATATTTCCGTTGAGACCTGCCATTGAATCACCCTTTATCATATTTTTGAGAATGTCATTAGGCGACCCCGAAGAGGCCAATGAACATGCACAGTGCTGGGGAATGCCCCATTCCGAACGACACTCGTGAAGACGTTGTCCAAGTCGCAGAAGACTGTCTCCGGCGATTATTTGTGTGAGCATCAGCCTTTCGGGTTCGTGTGCTTGTCTATTCGTGCATAGCAACCAGGAGAAGTCATCCCTGTCCTTTCCACTTTCGCCCCAGATCTTTATCGTGCCATTCTTGCGACCCTGAATAACATAGTAATTATAATTAATTATTTCGTACTCTTGACTACTGTCGTAAAGTTATTCCAAAATTAAATACATCAGTGTTAAAAAGCTCGTTAATTTTGATACTATCACAGATCATCAATCAATTTGGTTACATCATGTAGTTTCGCTATTTGGCACAGCATAATCGCCATTAAATTTTTATCCCATTAATTAATCAGCAGGCTCTCCATTGGAGTATGGGATCAATGATATTTTTTTTTTTTCTAATGGAATTCATTCTCACCTTGTAGCAATCTATGCACACGACGAATCCACACTTGCCACATGCCCAGTGATAGTTGAAGAGGGTAGTTTCGCAGACGTCGCACATCTCACGAACTCCTTGGACCACTCGCTTCCACGCCACGGTACTGTCTACAATCCCGGAACTCGCTGTCAGGAACATGTTACAAATGCATGTGCAAAAGCGTTAGAACATGCAAGCGCAAGTGTGCCAGAAAGATAGAAAAAGGCGATGCAGTTTATTTTCAAGTGAAATGGTCCCACCACGAGAAAGAACGGATTCATAAGGTGACAGGGGCAAAGGTTTATTTTTATAACACACGGCAGTAGAGAGAATTGACATCTAGTGTGAGGTATAGATATGTGTTTGGATATCATCCATCATGCAGAACATATTTGTATCTAAATGAGTGACCAGAATTAGAAACCTGTCGAAATGACCAATGGAACGGTTCAATGTACTATCAGATAACGGCGTGCTTATACTTGATAAATGTATTAGATTGTGCCACAGTGAAAGGCAAGACAGATTAAGCGATTAAATATCCGAAGGTCGCAAATTAGTTGTTTGTTAATTGCGTCGATGTGTCAGAGACTATTAATAAGAAGCGAAAGCTTATAATGTTACCTTCGACTATATGTTCTTGATGAGCTTCCTTTTCTTGATGAAGTAGATCGCAGAACTGATCCCCAACTTGACGGAGCAGTCTATGTGCCATTTCCAAATCCAGATCTTCCCTATCACCGCGGCCAGACTTTTCTTTTTCACTTTTATCTGATTTTTCATCCTTCCCTATCGCATCCTGACAATCCTTTCCTGGCAGCCAGAGACGCAGGTCTTCCTGCAACGTCACATTACTGTGCTATTTCATTTGACCCTTATACAATGAAACGCTTCCAAAGGTTCATACGATATGTATTACGCCAGAAATATAAATGTTTAACTTGGTTCGGGTAAAGTTTGATAAACTCACCTCGGAGGCATCTGTGTGCGGATCGCTGAATCCCGCAATCGCCACCATTCCGTTTTTCGTGTAACGGAGTCTACGGAATGCATAAAACCTGCAGAAGATGTTCTGTGGGAGGTTTTTCGAGCGCTGATGGGGTGTCCAGCGACATTCACGACACTTGGCCAACTTGGGTGCAACCTCAAAGCAGGGACCGTCTTGAAGCCAACTTTCTCCAGTTTTTTTCAGCTGCGATATCGGTGGTTTAGGAATTGGATCGCCTCTCCCTCCACCTCCTGGTCCACTACCACCGCCACTGGTACTCTCATCCCTTCTTTCCTTTTTTTGTCTTGGTTGTTGATCTTCACCTCCAACTTCACTGTTTTTCGACGACTTTGGTTTTCTCCCTCTTTTTCTAGGCTCTTTGTTACTGTTACCTGCATCAGTTAATAACAAAACACCTATATAGCACCCTCTCTTAGAACAACAGTATATAAATCTTAATCATTGACATAAGATCAGTGTTAAAAAGCTCATAGAAAGATATCATGATTTATCAAGTATATTTAAATTCATCATTTGTGCAACTGTCTAACAAAGCAGAAATCCGGGTAATTGCGAAATATCACGCTATTTGTCGTAACGTAAAATGCAGGAACGCGGATCACTTACCCTGCAAGTGAATAGTTAGTTCACCTAACGGGAAGTCCATTTACAAGAAGCTACGTCAACTAACCGTTTCCCGAGGAGTTGTTGGAATTGGCGGTGCTGTGTCGTACTCGAGAAGTAGGCTGGATGGAACCAAGTTGTTCGCTGGTGTCGCTGGCAGAACCAGCTTCGCTCTCGTTACTAGATTCACTTCCGGCTCCGACCCCTCCCCTTTGCTTATCATCCTTCCGCCTCCGCTGATCCTCCGCGGCTGCCTGCTGCCTCCGTGGAGGTCCCTTCTTTCGTTTTACCTACCACAGGGCATAGATTATTAAGTAGTCAGGAAGTTCATGCTCGTGTCGCAGCTACCCACTAAGGCCACTACTTTTTATTATTATTTTCTAAACATACGTACTATACACTAAATATTAAGGTATGTATACATCTACTGCGCAAGTGCCACACCTAAGCGAAGACTCTACTACGCTTAACACCTGTTCGCAGTTAAAGAGGTTAGGTAACCCCGACTACGGGAATATATAAGAGAATCCCTGAGGACTAGAATACACCGGATACTTTACCGTGTCGAATTGAATCATTCTGTACAGGTCTTAATGTTCACTGTCAAAGGAATACGGCTCCACACAGCACTGTAACTCGATCAGAGAACCACAAACGACGCTCGAGAAACATGTACTTGATTTCAGAGCCGAACTACTGTGCATGCGCGACAATAATGGCGCCCGTAGAAAACGCGCGCATTTCAAACTCTAAGAGATACCGAAAGTGTCAGTTTAATTCTCGTTGGGAATTGGATAAAAGTAATCAGGATTAAATATCACTGGCTCGAAACTCATATATAGTCAAGTAGATATCAATATGTTTGTATTTATGTTCTCATGTGTACCCGGCTCATGTATGATGTGGACATATCGCAATCTACGTTACCGACACTACAGAAAACAAAGGAGTTATTTTCCTCAACGTCAACGATATCCTTGCGAAAGTAATGTGTCGAAATGCCAACGTGTCGTGTACAAGCGCGACAAAGGGATCTCTTTATAGATCTACTATAGTCGTGTTATAAATAGCGCGACGTAATATAAATATTTCCGAGTGACGTCTCTCAATGAAATGCTCGAGAACCGTTGAACGGATGTAATTGAAAGAGAAGAGAAGAAAGAAATATAATTTTTTTTCCGACGTCTCGTGGAATGCATTATGCATTCATGATGAACGACAGACGGAAACTTGTCTTTTGCATTTAAAGCCAAACACGTACAATTTACTAGCGTGCCAAGTACTATCTAATTAACATCGTACACTCCACACCTCTCGTGCATGCGTGCAACTATGCAAAACAATTCTGATGCAAAATCGTGACTTTAGTGTCCGGGGAAAACCCGTATATTACAGTAGTATTAAAAAAAAAAAGTAATATAAGTATGCAGTAAGAAGAAAGAGGCAGTAAAAAAACACAGAGACTACGACAACGATATGGGGAAGAAACTGCAAAGCTTCTCCCGGTAATTTTTGTCCGCTACATCGGACAATCTGTGTAGATAGATACCTTGGGTGGTTTTCTTTTGGGCGGCGACTTCCGTTCCGGGTCGCTGCTGGATGAGTCTTCCTGAAGGCTCTTCGAGTCTGTCGCGTGTCCATTGAGAGTCTCTTTATTGGCTGGTTTCCTACCACCTTTTCCTGGCACTTTACTCTTGTTTATACTATTGACAGCCATGCTGCCGATATTGTGTATAGAGTTCACTGCACTAGGTAGGCTCGTTGTGGAGGTGGTTTCGCGTTCCTTGTTTAATGGTTGCGAGGGTGCCTGGGCGATGTTCAATGGTAAAGTAACACATGAACCACTGCCGACGACACCGGTAGTGTCCTCGGTACCGTCCTCCCCAGAATGCCTCTGCAGCCAGGCCTTTTTCAGCTTGTGAACGGGGTAACTGGTACTGCTCGGGGGTCTGGGGGCAGGACTGTTGGATTTTTCACTATCCGCTGCACTAGGATTCGCCTTGGCTGGGGTACCTGGTGCACTGGGGGCTGGACTTGGTGCGGCCGAAGGTGCTGGGCTAGGTATGGGTGCAGGACTTGGCGCAGCACTGGCGGTGGGATTGAGTGAGCTGACGCTGCCAGTACTCGCTGGTCTTACCGAACCATCGCCGCTAGCTGTCCTGGGCGCAGGGCTCACGGAGATAACCGTACGCTCCTGTGCCTGACTATTCGGCTGTGCTAGGAGCGCCGTGTTCACTACCGTGGTGATGGAGGTAGCTGCCGAGGCTATTAGAGGACTCGGTTCGCTCACCCTCGATAAAACAGGAGGACCGACACACTGGAGTGACAGCGGTTGGGGTTCCTCGGTTCTCCTCTTTTTACAGACTTCCAAGGACACTGGCTGACCCACGTTGTCACTAGGCGTGGGTGCTTTTCTCTTCGGTGATCCAGACCTCTCTACGCCGAGATCCAAGGGTTGTGTCTGAATAGAGGCTGTCATTGGCTGAGGATGTAACTGTTGGCTGGGATGCGGATTCGCATGATGCGCAGGGTGCGTTACGGGTCGGGATAAGGGAAGTGGTGCGGATGCAGCTGTAGGCGGTGAACTGTGCAACGGCGGTGGTAATTTCGATGCTGATATCGGAGGAACTACGTAGCTTCTCGAGTCGTAGACGGGCCTACTGCTGTGAGCAGGAGGCGGTAGGAGTGGTGGTGGCGCCCCATGATGATGAGGCACTTGTTGGTAAGGCGAACTTCCCGCTTTTGAAGTTAAAGGAAGAGGCGCCGGCACGGCAGGTTCCGAAGCTCGACATATTGGCGTACCAGTCATGATACCGGAATTAGGCTTCCCGTAAATATGTGGCGGTGCGGGACTGCTGACTTTTGGTTTCGATGCTGGCGGCGGTGCTGTGTAATGGGAAGTAGGGGACGCCGTGGGAGGATGTGGGTAAGGATAGGAGGTCTTGGGCGTGGCATAGGGTAAGCCAGGCTCTGGTCTACCGAGGTATCGTGACTCTGGCGGCGACGGATGTGGCGGCTGGTGTGGATGTTGAGCATGAGGCGACTGCCGATTGTGAGGATGTGAGGGATGTCCGTGAGGACTCGGTAGCTGACTGGTACCACCTCGATGATGACTTTGAGATATACTCTTCGCAGCCTGCAGACTGTCCATGTGATGAAGATGATGCGGACTCTGTGTCGGACTTCTGTACTCGTACGCTGCTGGTTTGTGGTGGGGTGCGACCGACTGGACGTTCAGGTAGGGCATCATCTTTGGACTCGATGAATGAGGCGCTGGTGCCTTTGGCAGATCCCTGCCCTCATTCTTCACGATCACTGAGCTCTTGTGATCAGACAGGAGCGGTGGTGGATTTGGCAGAAGATCCCTACCGTGATGGTCCCTTTCGATGCTGGCCAAACTCTTGCCAGGCAGCGGCTTGTGCTGGAGGTCACCCTTGACCTTGATATCATGCATGTAGGAGGGTTGAGGCGTGTAACTCGAGTAACTAAACAAACTGACGTTTGGCTCCGCCTTGGGAAGGGAACTGTGAGGTGGACCGACGACCGACGGAGGCTTCTCGTGAAGCCCTCCTACCGGAAGGGATGACTTTGACGTCCGCGAATGTGCCGGCGGTGGTGGGTATTCCACTTTACCAGGTACGCTCGACGGTCGGGACACCTGAAACACGCCAAATCAATAAATTAAATGTACAAGCAATGTCATTATAAAATGACTACGAAAACTTTTTCAACAACTATGCGTCTTACAGCGCGGTATAAATTTTAAAAAAAATCTTTTAAACAGTCATTCATGATACACAACTACTTATGTATATCTCCATGTACCACTGACAAGGCTAAGCCCGTACAATACAACTAATCCCACCGAAGGAATTGTCTCTCGTGACGTGGCAAGCTTGGTTTTCCACGCAGCGAGAACAATGGCTATCCGAGCGTTGATAATCTATCGCGATAATCCACCTCTTTATCGAGTAAGGTCTATCGCATGCAATAGCGTCTATCATTCACGAGAGCCAGGACTCGCCTTCCGAGAATGATAAGGATCTGCAGAGCCGCGAATGCAACACGAGTCTCGCTCATACGTAGACAGAAAAGAAAAACCCATCCGCAGCGCAGTCTCTCCCATGATCCTCCCTGGACTTCCATCAAGAAACGGCGACCGTACCTGTTGAGCCGCAGGTGGCGCAGTGGCCGCGTAGTACGCGGCTCTCTGCTGCGCCGCAACGTGGTCCCTGGCCTCGGCCTGCCTGTGGAGCCTTTCCGAAATATGTTCCCGTTCCCGTTCCCGTTGTTCCCTGGCCGCAGTGTCCCGTTCCCGTTCCCTGGCTTCACGTTCCTCCCGTTCGCGTTGCTGCTGCTGCTGCTGCGCCACCGTCACAGGATGCGCCGCGCCACCGGGTCCGGGATGATGATGACCAGCATGCGCAGTCATCCCAGAGTGACCTCCGTGGCCCCGATTTCCTGGCGGCGGCAGAGGGATGTAGCTGTTCCACACCATCGTGGCTGACGGCATGTTTCTCTGCGGAGCATAAGACACCTACTTCAATCAATACTGCCATTATACTTTCGACTAGTTGCGTCACTTTGGTCAAGATAGTCGAGAAATGCAAAGGGAAGGCCGGAAAAGGAAATTACGTCGAAGGAGATGCAAGACGTCGTCGTGCTCGTATAAGCGAGTCCGATCGACCTTGACACCTCGATGCCGATATTAAAAGATAAAAATCCGGTGAGGTTACGAAACACGCGATCGGCTTCGGTCAAGGATTTCATAAGAATTTCGGACGAATCAAGGTCAAGGTTGGATAGCACAATGCATTACGACATCACGTGGATAATCCAACGGGAATAAACGGTCTCGCTGTGTAATTATAGTGCGGCCCAGGATCGGCTCCGTGCTAATCGACCGGTTGAGTGAACGTCAGGGGCACACGGTGCGCGTACACGTGGCACAACGACGACGAAGTTCGCGCGTCACCCGACTCGAGTCACGCGTGAGTGACGTTTCTCCACGAGACTTGTTTCGCGACAAACGGACACGAGCGGTCGGATACAAACGAAGTAGTGAGAAATCAAGAGGCCGGAGAACGGCAATAAAGACGAGCGAAGGAGGACACAAAAAGAGGGTGCAAAAGAAACAAGACAGCTCCCGACTCGTCTTCTCTCGTCCTCGATTATCCGGCACTTCGCCTCTTCCCTCTTAACGAAATTACCAAGAGACTCTCGTCGCTCGTTCTCGTGCAACGCTCCGATGCTTCGACACGCCTTCGATTCGAGCGTGGGATCATCCGAATCGCAGTTCCTTCAATGCGAACGACCTAACCTCTACCGACTACTCCTGGCAGAACGTGAATGTCGATCCTAGCCGAGATTCAAGACTTCGCGCGATACTGTGGCAGTTGCCAATATAGACGGCAAAGCGAGTAACGAGAAATTTGGAATTTTCAACGAGAGCGGTAGCTGCTGCCATCTGGTGAATAAAACTGCTCAGCCTCTTATAAAGACGATAGGGGGACGCGGTTCAAGCGTGCTCCGACACGAGAAGAATTATGAATTGATAACGATGAACCCGCCCGTAGACATTGTGAAACCGAGTAAAGCGTCAGGCTGGTAATTCTTAATAGGTCAGTCACCCCTTTGGCTCTTACCGACTTCAGCTATATACCCCTTTTGCCGTTATTCCGTATATCCCACAAGTACTGTGCAGACACACCCTCCACCCTCTCGATTTCTTCATCTACCAGACACGCGCACCCCCACTTCATTCGGGCATCCATTATTTACCGTACTGGGACTTGGGTAAGGGGAGGACGGGATTAATGCAGGGGTGAAGGCTTGACAACCACCCCCAGGGGAGACAAAGAGGAATAGTGGCTACGTCATTGTCTGCGCCCGACTAGCCACTGTAACCATCCCTTGCGTAGGAACGACCCCAGGTCTGTATTAACCGGTTTATTTTTACTCCCCCCTCTCTGACCCATGTTTCACTCATTCCTTCTTCCCTCTCCTTTCGTCCAGCTCTCGTCCCGAATCGACAGCACCCTCGCAGAGAGAGACCAACCACCCCCCCGCAGTCTCATCAACCACGCCAACGAATTCCATTCAGCTGGCTGCCACGTCCCATGGAATTCCAAGGGGACGTCGACGCGTGACGGCGATTCGCTGAGACCGGGAGTAGCAACCCTTATCGATCGACCTTTAACCCTCCAAACTCCAACGCTACGGGAATTAATTGCCAGTCTCGGCGAGTTTCGTCGTTTACGATACCGAAAAGGGTGGGGCACGTGATAGCGATTGACGATCGGAATCCAGGAAAGGCTCTCTGGGACACGAAGGAGGAAGTGAGGGCGCAAACGGCAGATGGCAAGATAGTATAAACAAGAGAGTTTCTGGATATTCCAAAAAGATACCAGACGATTATACCGTTGATCTAAGATGGTACCGATGCCATTCGACCGATTACTTCAGATAACGTCATCGTCGCGAATACTTCGATCGATACCAATCTTCACGGTATCGTACTCCCAATTAGCAGAGCATGCGACTTTTTTCCTTTTGTCTTCGCTACACCAATCGAGATACATCAGACGCAAATAGTTTAATCGTCAAGATTATCGCGGCGCCACGTGGTCTACAGATCATTTACACAGATCATTACACGTAATCGTCATAGGTCACAGGTCAAGACGCCTTCCGTTTTGAGATCGTACTTCGTACGCCCCTGGGTACAGTACAGTCAAATATTTTCGGCGGACACGTTAATCGGTGCACAAAATAATTGCTCAGCCAACTTCACGCAGGTCGTCAAAGACGCTTCGCGTGGGACAATAAACCAACGATGTCTCATTATACTCGTGAAAACAATGCTTGTACCGATTACGTCGAGAGGAGAACGCGCGCTTTAATTGGCACTGCTTTCCAACGACTTCATGAAAAACCGGTTTGGCTTTCTCGTGCTATCCAACCGGCGATCGCCTCTTCATTGTGGCCGTTAGCTTTGAGGAATTCGGGTCGTGAGGAATTCCACAGAGTCCCCGCGTCCTGCGTTTCGCGTAAGAGTCATTTAAGCATACGGTAGAAAAAAAAGAAGAAAGGGAACTCGATAATAATTTTTCCAAGTCATCGCCACGAGGATATATCAATTTATACGGAAAAAGGAAAACTATGGCGAATACTTGTCTCGGAGTAATTACGGATGAATAAGGAAACTATAATTCCACATGTGTCGATAAAGATCGAAAATCAAGGTCTGGCTACTACCGCATGGGAAAATCCGCCTTGAATGGTTTACGTAACTTTTTAATTGGACATCACTGCTAACTGCTTGGCGATTAGTGAGAATTGCACGAGTTCCCGTCTGATGTAATTTAATTTCAGAGCGATAACTCGGAACCGAGTTGAGCCGAGTCAGCCCCCTTCGAGTCAAGGCCACGATACGTGGATACGTGTATACAGTGTATAGGATGGATATATATATTTCATACCGAATCGCCATCCCTCTGGCAAATAAAAGTCGTATCGCGAATGATATCTTATCGGTTTCTCAGCTCCTTCGAGCGAGAATTAATGCCACGAGCAAACAGCGAGAAGCATGCGAAATATTTTGAATTTTCCCAATCTCTATTTTTTTAATACTTTTAACTACGTCTTATATAACGAGGACAGCCCCCTTCGCCCCCCTCCCGACCCCACGAGCAACTTTCCCACCCATTGAGAATCGCCGTACAACGACCTTGAAAACAATCACGATTATTGCAAAAGTCTTATCTGGTTTCCGAAGATAAATACTAATCGAGTTTCCCGTGACAGGCTGGCAAAGGGTTCTCAGAAATTCCATGAAGTAGGAATCAAAATGTGTATCCATACTTAAAACGAGAGTCACTCGAGCTAACGCGCAATCGCGTAATGAGAATCGGAGTGTTTCCTGTAATGGTGCGAGAGAGAAGGCTAGATTATTGACTCCCTGATCGGATCTAGGATAGAAGAAGAAGAAACAACAGTATACACCTCTCGCGCACAGTAGAAATTCCACGATACGACTTGTGTCAGCCGATAACGAATAAAACGCTGAGTAAAATGTACGAAGGCGTTATCAGGTTTGGCATTTCAATGTGGTAAGGTCGCCCTAGAGACAAAGAAAGGATGAGGATGCTGACTCGGCTCAAGAGGACATTCAATACCGGACCCCGTTCGCAGTCAGCAAGAAGTGCAGGCGCGCGCGACCTTCCACGGGACAAAATTCACAGTCGAAATAGTCTAAGCTGGCGTTAAGTTTTTCGAGTGGTAAGGGGAAAAAGAAAAAGAAAAAAAAAAGCGTGGCGAGCTGACAAAATAATTTTGGTCGGAAGGCAATCGATAGTCATTAATAAATCAATAAGAGACCTTAAAGCGAGCTACCTAGAGTGGGATCCGAATAAGAAAAATAAAATGTGAAGAAATAGGTTAGAAGTGGATAATATAACGGAGAGACCTTAGAACGAGAAGGTTAAGAGCGAGAGAAGAACGAACCGCCTTGCGAACGTTCCTGTCGAATGATTTACTGTCCGCAAGATGGCAGACGCTCCGAGAGTTCAGAACGGGACAGTAGGGAGATTCTCGAGTTCGGATTCTCAGAAAGCGAGAAGGAGATCGTTACAGAGGTGGACGTCCCTCTAGCGGCACGTCCAATTACTGGGGATCAAAGCAATTTCGAAATGACGATATAACCGGAAGGATATACAGAAAGGGAAGTGAAGCGAGTTTACGGTAAAACTGGATTTGAGGTTAAGTGACCGTGATGCGACGTCAACCCTCCGCATGGTATAGAAAAAGCGAAAACTTTCCGTCTGGACTGTACCAGTAGCGACAGTTTAAGAATGGCTGCGAGCGAAGAATCGAATTTTTCTATCACGCGTTAGCTACCATTTATCCAATTAACATGTAATTCTCAGTTCAGCTCACGTCACGCACTGTAAACCTTCATGGACGCGAGTAAGACTCTTACGTCTTCCGGTGTGGCTAAAGAGCGTCGTGGACGTCGACCTAGAGAAGATAACGGGGGTTACCTAATTTACGTCTGACCCCAGCGCCCTACGTTGGCAAAGCTTAACCAGATTAGAAACAGGCCCTAAGTTAAACTAATCAGACTAATGTCGGGTACACTACCAACCTGAGCTTCACGGGTTTGTTATTACAGTATGGAGTCATGTATATATATATATATATATATATATATATATATATATATATATAGCAAGAATGTAGTAAGTAACATCGTATGCTAACAGTATTCGTAGAATAACACGAAGCATAATAACAAATGACAACTGCGTCTGAGGTTATCAGCACAGTATTATTTTCAGAGGCCCATTAGATAACACCCGAGATTACTATACTAGAACAATAACACTGCGTAACACCAAAGAGCTGTGAACTAGAAAATACACTGCGATGGAAATCACACTGGTTATTCCTATTCCGTATGTAAAATATAGTACCAGACGTAACCGGTTATACGTGAAGTTGTACGTTTACGGACAAGCTTTGCCCGGCTAGCATTTCCGAGGGGAAATAATCTCGGCACGTCGTGTTGGGCCGGTAATTAACTTTGCTTGGGATTAGCAGTCCCGGAAACTACAGCGAACTGCGGCCGACTAAGTAAAGCGTCGAGTTATAGCGCGAAGCGAGTTTGAAAATGCGCCGTGAATAGTGAAACGGACTGATCGCTTTCTCGCTGCTGGTCAGCGAGGATATGCGTGGCTTGGCGTAGCCGTAAACAGTTTCGACGAAACGTATATAGGTGGAAGAACGTATAAAAATTAAGTGAAAAGGATACGGGGGAAGCGCGATGACACATTCTCGAGTCTTTGACGACAAAGTTAACGGAATGCCTGAGTTGCTCAATAATTCAATGGCGTCCCTCGTCTTGTTGTGTCTACGCGACCTCGCCAGCTCCGACCCACTGCTAATTTATGCTAAGCCGCACGAACGGTTACCACGAATTTGCATTGGCTTGGGATAAAATTCAGAGTAAGAGGAGCAGGATGAAAATAAGGACTTCGAGGATACGCAATAATGTAAAGTAACAAGGATAAAGAAGCTGCTGACGTGGGTGAATTACGATTAAAACGTATGAGTGGTATATACGAGAAAGGTAACGGTACCAAAATGTCCCGTTAGAGCGCGCGCCAGTAAAAGTATTCTCACTATCGGTGCTCCCAAGTGTCACGTTTCCAAGTTATACACTGCACACGACGTTCGTGGAAAAGTTTTCAAGGATCTCGGAGACACGTGGACATCCTAAAGCTTCCTGAGGTTTATCTACAGTCAAGACGAGAGTCGTTACGCGTACAGACACGAGTCGGATGCCGTAATACAATTTTGCAGGCGTAAAGTCACACGGGTAAACACACGGAGCAAGGGATTCTCGCGAAAGTAAAGTCTGGGCGTTGTAAATTTAAACTTTTAACTTATTTAAAGTACTTCGAAAAGAAGTCTGGTGCGAATGGATCCGCAAGTTCTTGTCCCACGGGCGAGCGCCGTCCATTGTGTGACGCCAACGCGCAGCGCATAATTAATAACCTGCCTCGCGGAGAGTTTGCATTGCAAATGGTACGAGGGGGACACGTTAAACTGGCTTGAGACGCTTTCAATAACAGACGGGCAAGCAGGCAGAGGTGTTACGGACATTTCAACGAGGCGAAACTGTCACTCGTTTATATACTTTGTCAAGCGGCTATTCCCTGTCAAAAGTGTGGAATGAGGATTTAAGCAAAGTTCAGAGTCGACGGAGTTTCGCAAACTCCGCGACACCTCTCTCTCTCCCTCGTGATTCAACCCAAAATATATTACCTCGAAGGACCTATAATCCAGATTGAGACGTCACGCTTGTCAACGATTAAATACTGATCAGTGAATCACTACGGCAATTCTCATTAATCGCGACTTTACGACTTCCTGTACGATAATCACACTGACACAGATGTCAGTCGCATGATTGATCTATCCAATAAAAAAAAAAATATATATATATACTCGTATATATATATATATATATATATGATAGCCGTATAAATATAACTCACGTTTTCGACGCTCATCAGCTTCACTTCAGGTTACTATGCGCTTAAATAACCTCAACGGTTTTGTGTCCTCCATTATTTGAATCCATAAAAGAACCAGCAATGCTATTCAATACACACGCGCACAAACACACTGGACACGCTCTGTATCGTTTAAAATTCTAGTATAATACTTTCGGAGTATGTGAGGATTGTCCAAGGTCACGTACGCGTTTGAAACTCGAAGAAAGTTCGTTACTCGTGGCGAGGTGGAGATGGGCCTCAAGGTCGTGTTCCGTAAGTCACTCTTTTCGATTAGGTTAAATTTGTAAAAATCTAAGAAAAAGACGTTTGAGGATAGCTCCGATTCGTTCGGTAGTTGGCGAAAGACTGAAGGGACACTTGCGCCTGGGCAGGTAGAGTCCCTGAGGCAGGAGAGACACGCTATGCGCCATTAGGCGCAGTGGTACGTGCATAGGGAGAGAACGAGTGAGAAGGACAAAGAGATACGAGGGGAAAAAGGAAAGTAAAGGACAGGTAATACATAGCACAAGGGACAGGTTTTGAAGCGGTCAGATGGGATAGGACCGAGGAGAGCCAGAAGCGGCCACAACAACACAAAGGGCAGGTGCTGGAATGCATTGATTGCCTCTCCCTTTCTAGCCCTCTCACCTCGTTCCAGCCGTTTGGGCGTTCCTCGGCCCTGAGAACCCTGAGGAAGGGAGACCCTTCTTGGACTCGGCACTGTTGGTACCTTTTACGCTTTTTCAATTACTCGCTCAACCTTTTGTCCCTTGTTTCGTGATCTGTGACTTTTTTCCCATATATCCCTACGCCCTTGTACCACCGCCATGCCCTACTACCACACACCTTCGATTTTAAGTTTACACGAACAACATTTTTTTGGAAATCAAATTAAAGCACAAAATGAAAAGATCGAGCATGATTCGATATCGAAAAAAGAAATTCCTATAAATCGTAGCTCGATGCTTTTGGAAATATAGAAACTTAATGAAACGCATAGCTATAGACAGACAGCAGGCAGTAAGCCAGACTCACCTTTTGCTGTGCCAACCTGAAGGACTCCTCGAAATGTTTGTGTACCGCCTGCTCGGCAGCTTTCTGCTTGTCTATCCTCTCCTGTTCCATTTTCGCCTCTCGTTCACGTTCCCGCTTTTCCAGTTCTCGCACTTCCGCTTCCCGGCGTTCCCTGCAACACGGAACGTCCCAAGAACAAGGTCAGAGAAGACATATTCAGCTAAAAAACGTACAATTGAAATCCATGATACAGTAACGTCGAAAAAATTCCCAAGAAAAATATTCCCCGCTGCACGCGTTATGAAAAAGCAAAAAAAAAAAAAGTTCCCCTTTAACTATGGTTCGGAATACAGATACGCATAAAGAGCAAACAAAATATATCCCGCGTCGCCTGACGCAAGAGTCGCGCAACTCTGTATTCCCAGAAGCTGCGGGTTATCGCATTGTTTTCGCAGCCAGTCATGGCTCACGGGGTGTCGTAAAGTTTCCTGAGAGTATTAAATGCGAGTCCTCGTGTGTCCCAAGTCTAAAGCGTCTGACGTGAGTGCCGTTCACCAGAGTCAACAACAGCGGTTCGGAAATTCGCCCACTGAATACCCCGACGTACAGTGAAAAAGGGACGAGGAGAAAAGGGACAGGGAGGAAGCTACCAGCTAAAGGTTCCTTTTCACAGTGTGCGTCATAATGGCGATTCTCAGGTAATAAAAATACGAAAAACCAGACGAAAACATCACCTCCTGTAACACATGATTATCAGTGACTACGATCATGCGAATTCTCGAGATCGGTAGTGGAGATGGTTATTTAGAGACACTTTTTTTTTTTTCCTTTCCTTCGACAGCCTCTGGAAGATAAGCATTCATTAACGCTTACGCAAGTTATTTATACTCTTACGTGCAACGCGCGTGTTTATCTATTCCCAGTCCGACCGGACTGAATATACTGAGTACACATAAGTCTTTCTCTCTTGCTCGTACGCTCTATATATATATATACACATCTCGGTTATCATTCTGGATATCGCACTCATGCTCGATTATTAGCCGCACAGTCTCGTGTGCGCAAGGGGGTTAACGTCATACTGGAATAGCGTTATACGGACTGGTTGACAGAGTGCGTGTCCCTGCGAGGCGTAACGTGTACGATACGTGTACATATGTAATACATAAACGGGATAAATGATTGTCGCAATCCCTAGAGCTTTGCGAATACATGCATGCGTAATGTATTTCCATGATGGAAAACAAGAAGTTGGCTTTCCAGAACGCACTTGGCAAAGTTATATATATATATATTGGTATAGCAAAGTCAGTGAGAGCGAGTACATACGTGAAAATAACACGTGCGAGAGAGCGAGTGAGTAACCGAGAGCGATCGGAGCGCGGTATTGCGGCTTTGTAGGGATTTCCGAGAATCTGAAAAGAAGATTTAAAAAAAAAAAGCATCGAACGCGTGGAGAAGACGTCGGAAGAACGTTGGCAGTCTCGTATGTTCCTCGACACGTTTCTATTTATTTTCGTAGCGAGAAAGAAATCGTAAGCACCTTTCGTTTCTGTCTCCTTCCCGAATGACTCCATGGGATATATGTGGACATACTGTATAAATACGCGTGTACATATATATATATATATATATATATATATCACGCGTATATCTACGAACCTATCATATGATCCAACCTGGAATCCTCTTGCGTGTTAGTTTCTCTATCTGGTATCTCGGGCCCGTCTGTCTTCGCATTAAAATCAAACGAGTCCTCCGGTTGACCGCTAAAGCCGCACGTAGAGTCGGCATGGGAAGAAGCCGTCAGGCCGGTGCCGAGAGCCAAGGCAACCTTTGAGAGATCCAGTCCCGGACCAGGCAAACCAGAAAGCCCCAGCCTGATCCGAGATTACCAAAAAAGGTCTTACGCCTCTACGGACTTGGCTCGGGTCTTCTTTATCTTGTTTTCATTTTTATCGTGTTTATATATACATATATACACGCTCCTCGCGTATCACGGAATTTCATTATAATTCCCAGCCGAATGAAAAACAAGGTGGAACTGTTCTGCGAATCTTTCGAAAAGCACGAGGTTAAATAAAGCCCGACGCCATCTTGCAGGACGATTACGAAATTAAACTGGTTCGCCTTTCATTCTTACTTTAATTATTGACGAGCGCCGCTCGACCCACAATTCGTATCCTTTTTATTTCCATCTTCTTTGACTCCGGACTGTTATCGATTATTTACAGGAGAGCAAAAAATAAAGAAATAAAAAAAAAAGATAAACTAGTCTCACGAACGGACGCGACTCACGCACGTATTTTAATGTCCCGTCACGAGTCACGAAAAACAGAGATGACGATGTCGAAGTTCAAGGAGAGTCATTGATCGTCTCGTCTGGCCTGTTTACAAATCGATTCGCGTTCGTCCCGGGAACGACCGGTGTTGCAGGTTTGGGAACTTTGCGACAATAATTGTCACGTAGAATTTATTCGAGAGAAGAGTCGAAGGACGTTACATAGAAATCGCCTGTGACTGTGCAGTCTGAAAACAGCCAAGTCGTCACGTAATTGTCGGGGACTGCTTAATACGGCTCGAACGAGATAAGAGCGTGTTTTGTTGCGAGCAAACGTTTTGCATTGATTGGCCGTAATTCGTTGATCCGTAATAAATAAATATTTTCATTAAAGATGATATCTCCCTGACGTTTAAAGTAACCGTGCGATACGAGCCTAAGCTACTCACAAAGCACGAGTCGCGTCGACCGATAACGCTTCGTGGCGTGTTCGCGTGTTATCAATGCTCAGCAGACGAAAACCAGATAAGACAAAGGAAAGTACGACGGTGGCTGTTATATCTTGTACGCGTATCCAGACAACCGTATTCGAGGTTAGGATGCACGTGGTGAGAGGCAAAGGAGACACGTGCATATTAAATAAGCTTCGCCAAGGACAACGGGTATAACGATAATACTGGTATGAATCATAAAAGATCCTCGATCGCTTGACGATGAGAACGTGGTGTGTTTTTTCATCGAGCCATAAGTTTGCATACGTAATATATTATCGTCGAAAGGAAAAGTAGTTTTTACCAAGATAATTAGTGAATACGTGCGATTACCCTACGCTTTCTGCGCTCGGGGTATTACCGTGATTTCTATACGTGACGTAATTTCACAAACTGGATTACATGCGGTTGCTGAATAAACTAGATATAATATGACGCGGGGTTTGCGCGCGCGTGGCGCTGTCGTCGCCGGCAACAACCACGGGGCAGCGGTCGACGACAGCGCCGCCGCCGGGTGGCTCGGGAACTAGAATAGAATGAAAGAAAACAAAAAGGAAACTATCCCAGAAATCACTTTAAGTGCTAGAGAAAGAAAAAGAAACGTAGAGGAAACGTGCGAGCGTCACGAGTGGCGTGCGAAGTGGAGCCAGGGATTAAATTAGAATTCACAAACTGGTCCGTAACGATCGTTTCGGGCGCGGAGGCCTGCGGATATTGTTCGACTCGCGCTTCGCGAAAATGTCTCTCAATATTCTATATATTCTCAAGATTCTATATATAAAGCGAGAAGAACGAAAATCGAACGTTCAATTTCATTGTTTTGAATGGCGCGCCAATCTTTCTACACGTGCGTGGGAAGTGAAAAACCCGGGCGATCCCTCATAGGGAATTAAACGTCAAACTGTAAAGAAGAAAAAAAAAAGGTTCGCTCGTCTCTCGGTCTCAAATGGAACCCTAAGACTTTTACCACCCCTATGTATTATACACATAGCACCATTACTCTCTCCTCGAGGAAAATGGAGGTTAGGTGGGCAAGTGAATTGCCTGGGGACATAGGGAACAATAACTCGGACAACCCTCAAGCGCAGGGGTATTCAACCGTAAGGGATGCAATCGATAAGTTGTAGGGGAATGAGAAATGGTATATAAAAGATCGAATAAACCTGAATGACTACGGCAAGGAGATATGGCTACCGAGGAGATAACGCTGATCGATGAGGATGGATAATATTGAAGTGAGAAGGCTTCAGGAATAATTTAAAATATCAATGAAAATAATAGTCGATCGTTCGTCGTCTTAAAGACACATATACACAGCCCCCCGTTTGCTCCATTGATTCCAAGCACGTTTTTCCCTGTCTCTGTCGTCCTGGCACCCAGTCACTGTTTTTCCCGCTTACTCTCGCAAGACTCGAAAAGTGAATTTTCTACCTGAAAAAAATCAAAGGGTTCGCACTTTGCCCGCAGGATGAAAATATCGAATCTTGTAAGTTTCGTGACGGGCGTTAAACAGTCCTAAGCAGAGGAGTACATAAAAATAGACCAAAATCCACGTCTCGAGTCCGTCGCGTTACGAAAGAGACACGCGAGAAACGTGCACGGGGCTTCCGGGAAGCGAAGCTCGTGAAGCTTCTGCCGAGGGACGCTTTGAGACAGTCGCCTAGTTTCGAAAGTGAAGGAGAAAGGAAGAAAGGGAAGAGGTCGAAAAAAAATCAAAGAATAAAGCAATCAATAGACAAGTAGCAAAATTCGAAAACGCGGAGCTTTACGATGGCATCGTGTAACCAATCGAAGGGGACGACAGACGAAATAATAATATTGCTTTAACATAATTATTTATCGTCTCGCATCGAGTCTTCTCGAGTACGATTCCCCGAGTGCCCGTAAACACGCACTTGGCTGCCGTCCAACCCGTCAAAGGGAAAACGACGTCCAGAAGGCGTATACAAAGTGGATACCCAAGGAGATGCTTAAAGTCCCGCTTACGTTTATACACGGCTCGGGGTTTATGTCGCTGAAAAATTTCAATCACTTTCGTTAGATAAAATTCGGTACCGCGCGTCAAAGAAAGTGCGCCTACAAAACCACTGAATGCAGATGCTACCAAATGGGAAGGACTGTAAAGGATGGTTGCGTAAGAGAGAACAATGCCGGAAATACCAGACAATGGTTGTTAGAAGCCGAGAGGAAGGTCACAGGCTCGGTGAATGTACGGAACATTTGTTACAGATCCATTATATATATATATATATATATATATATATATATATATATATATATATATATATATATATTTCAGTAACACCTACGCCACGTGACACCAAATTCATACCCCGTATCATTGGACGCAGAAATATTCTATCCAAGAAACGTAACGTGAAAATTAAATGAAAAATATTT